TATATAGTATATAGTATATAGTATATAGTATATAGTATAGTATATAGTACATTGTATATAGTATAGTATATAGTACATAGTATATAGTATAGTATATAGTATAGCATATAGTATATAGTATATAGTATATAGTGTAGCATATAGTATATAGTATTTAGTATAGCAAATAGCATAGTCCCATCGCCCCATCCCCACCTTCCCTCACTTCACTTTCTCACACCTACAATTCCCATATTCCCAATTTCTTTATTTCCCAATTCCCAATAAGTTAACTTATTTTCCCACTCGCATAATAATCCGGTTCCCGTGTTCCCATGTTCCCGTGTTCCCAGGATCCCTCCAAGGTGGTGCACTCCATAGTTGACAACGTGACCAAGGTGAGCGCCCCCACACCCCTTTATACGCTAATACCTTGATATTTTAATACCCCTTACACCCCTTAATATGCTTATAATTTCATATGTGTATACGTTAATACCTTAATACGTAATACCTGAATGCACCTCCCTCCCTTCCTAATATCCTCCCTTATTCCCCTATTCCCCTATTCCCATATTCTCACATTCTCACATTCTCACATTCCCACATTCCCACATTCCCCTATTCCCCTATTCCCCTCTTCTCGTATGCAGGCTTACCCGGCCTTCTGCAACCCCGTGGGCAGGGGCTGCTGGCTCTCCTGGGTGGCCATGAACAGCACCCCGCAGGTGTGTACATCATCCTATGTATATCATTTCGTATACACCCGTCATATCGTATAAACACACCATATCGTATAAACACATCATGTATCCCATATAAACCTATAATTTCCATCCTAATAATCCATTAACGTAACCTCCCTCCCTCCCTTCCTCCCATATCCCCACATTTCCCTACTCCCACATTCCTGTATTCATTTATTCCCTATTCCTTATTCCCTATTCCCTATTCCCACGTTTCCCTGTTCCCATATCCCCCCTGTGTGTGTTGAATCTCACTCAGCCGCTGCTGTCCTGGGGGCAGGGGCTGTTCAACGCCTTGTGGGGGTTCGGGCCAATTCCGGAGGTGGTGAGGGAGATGCAGGGGTAGGGGGTA